TTTTCCTCAGAAGTGTTGTTTGTGTTGATTCAATTGGTGCGATTATAAGCTTTAACACATTACTTATAATTGACACCTTATACATACTTTCCAACAACTTGTGCTTTTATTTATTCCATTCTTTTTAGCTGAATAATGATTTATAATTTATTAATTTCATTACATTTTTCATGAATATTATTTAAACTGCAACGCCACAGAAAAAAAATGCATGTCATGTGACTTAATCAAAGCACATCATTGGCTAAACTAAGGTCTTCTCTTTCCAAAAAAAAAAACGAGAATGTCCTCTTAAAGAGACAGTGGCAAGGAAATGAACACAAAGCTTATGTTGCCATATGGCCACACCATGCGGTAGAGGGTTAAATACAGAATGCCAAGATTGACTAGACAGCCATGAAATTAAAACAAAAAATACATCCTTGAATCATGTTATTGCCTTTGTAACTTTTTTTAAGTAAAACTGTTTGGCTGTTGGGTAACTATTATTCATTGTGTTTAAATCTTTAGCTTTAACCAAGAATGGAGAAGTTATGATTTCTCTATGCTCCATCCTTCCAAGGAATGGTATACTCAAAGAGAGGAAACTGAGTCAAAGATTGCTAGGACATCAGCCTGTGGAGTCTGTATTTTATGGGTCAACAACCGTTTTAGCCTTAGAGATGAAGATCAAACGGACCTTCCTATTTGTATGGACTTTTCTGTACTAATCAACTTCTGTGGCCTTCTTATCTGAACATTCTTTCTTTCATTCATTGGTACTTTTCCATTTTATTTATTTAAGCAAAGCGTCACTTAAGCATGCCATTGCAAGCCCACTGTGTCCAATTCTCAGGTGAACTGGACCTTCACAGGGTCCAATAGAAAAGACCTCCTCATAGCATCTGTCCCACCAGAAACAAATGAGACAGGCCTTGGCAAACTCTGTCATTTTGGCAGGCTCATTTGCCTACATTTTACAACAGGCAGAAACAAGATCTAGATGTGCTCTAACCTTCAAGAAGATTAAAGAACCAAGTTTTTTCCTGAAATACCTATCCTTTCTTCCCTCCCTTTTGTTTTCTTTTGTTATTGAGACACGCTACCTTGGGCTATAGTTTGTTGAGTGTAAGATGAAGCCAGTACAGATACATTTCTTAATGTTTTCTTGGTTAAATCACAGGCCCTGCAATACACTGAAAGAGCTGTCATTGCAAAACTCAGCCTTTGTTTCACCTTTTAAAGATTTAAAAATGTGAAAGGAGTTCAACCATAAAAATAACAACTCTGTCCTCCTTTACTCACCCTCGTGTCACTCTAAACCCGTTTGACTTTCACTTCACCATTAACCATGATATTTTATTTTTTATTTTACTTTTACAAAACTTCTCCATCAGAAAGTCATAGGGGTTTGGAACAACAGGAGAGTGAGTAAACAATAATAGTAATTTTTGGGTGAACGGCCCCTTTAAATATCATTGTTGTTATGCTTAGGCACTGCTGTTGAGTGCTGTTGGCATATTGGCCGCAGTGCTAAAGAACTGGATGCGCCAAGAACAGGGCTAAAGCATTCTCAAATTCTTGCGTGATTCTTGAGGATGAAGATAACGTTCGCAATATTGCGGTGGAAACTCCCTGCAAATGCCATCTATGTGAACAATGCCAGTCATGCCCCTCCACCACAGATAAGGACCAAAGCTGGTTCATTTCTGTCACCCCTCAGATGGGCATCAGCACAAGCAAAACACATTTCTGTCACATCAGAAACAAGATGCAGAACTGTAGAATTGTACTTAAAATTAAAAAAATATATTATTCATACACTTGAAAAAATTCTCACAAGGCTACATTTATTTGATAAAAAATACAGTAAAAACAGTAATATTGTGATATAGTATTACAATTTAAAATATTGATTACTATCTAAATGTATTTTAAAATGTAATTTATCCCTGTGATGGAAAAGCTAAATTTTCAACAGCCATTTCTACAGTCGTCAATGTCACATGATCCTTCAGAAATTGCTCTAATATGCTAATTGGTGCTCAAGAAACATTTCTTATTATTATCGATGTTGAAACCAGTTGTGCTGCTTAATAATTTTGTGGAAACCATGATAAATATTTTTTATTAATAAAAAGTTAAAAGAACAGAATTTATTTTAAATCTTTTTTTTTTTTTTTTTTTTACGATTTAAGGTCTTTTTACTGTCACTTTTGATCAAACTTTTGAATGGTAGTATAGGCAAGCTATGACTGTGTCCTAAAAGTCAAAGTAAGCACTTTAACAACTTTTTTCAACTTAAGTTCCTGAAATGTGATATTTCTCAGTAATAACTGACACACAGTATGAGTTCTCTAACCACTTGTTTTCAGTCACCCTGTCACATTTTGTTCCTCAAATTGTCAAGAGAAGCTGTAAAACAGCATAAAAGCATTCTGACATTTTCTTTGGTGGCCTACTTTTCTGCTAAATAAACCCAAGTAAGCTTAAGGCAAATCCATTCTCAAAGGAAAACAAATAAAGTTGAAGAACTATGAAGGGAAAACCATTTCCAAGACATAAGATATAAGGCATAATATATTTTGCTGTGCAGAAGAAATGTACAGACATAATGGCATCCTATGATATGTGTGAATGTCCTCTAGCTCTGTGACAGCTTAAGGGGAACAGTTTTGTACTTACCCCAGTTCAGGGGCAGCAGTAAAGCCCCAGTCACCCAGAGAGAGAGCAGCTGTGTGAACATGCTGGAGGAGACAGCAGAACTGACTGGGATCCTGACTGTGTCTTACTATATGAGCACATGATGAAGTGAAAGGGTGGGAGACAAGACTGGGGAGGGCTTGAAATGGTTACAGGAAAACTTGTGATAGCATTGCTAGATTGGTCATTCATTTTCAGTTGCGTAACATTTCAAGCCAAAAGTATTAAAGGGGTCATATGATGCGATTTAAATGTTTCAGAAAGGCGGGGCATAGAGGAGAAACAATAATGTACAGTATGTGGAAAATAATGTGTTTTTTTAACCTTAAACCGCATAAACACATTTCATTACACCAAATACACAACATAATGTTCTTTTTATGAGCATCATGACCCCTTTAACCTTTTTAATTTAGTAATTCTTTAAAGCTGTCTAAAGGTTCAAATACTTTCCATTGCTTCAGTTTTTATGCTCTTTATTGTTCTTTAAAAGTCTCAGAAGCTTTTTTTTACCACTAAAAGAATATGAAACCATGTGGTTTGCACACTGACAAATCCAAACACGCTCTAGCCGTTTATCGGTAGTTTCATCTTGACATTTTTCACTTGATTTAAATGAGCTTTCACACTTTCATGGACTGAATGTTCTTAACATAAACATCAGACTCACCAGAATTAAATGAAAACAAAGGATCCTAGGAAGATGAGAAGGCTTTAATCCGGTTTTTTAGCAAATATATTACTTTGTAAGGATTGTTTTCACAGTCTCACATAAGATAACTACTTCTAAGGCCATTTCTGTTTTTCTTTTTTCTTTTCTACTCTGTTTCTAATAAGATTTCTGTACATTTTTAACATAAGAAGATAGGGTCATTTTTCTTATTCTCAATTTTGTCCACATCTCTGTTTTATTTTCCAAATACTGTATTGTACAAATGCTTGTATATTCAAATATCTGGATGCAATATATTGTTTTTGCTGTTCAAGTTTCATAGCTGTGAGCAGTTATGTGGTAAACCTGCTGGCCAACATCATCCAAGAAATTATTATGGGACAAGTTCTGACAAATATCTTGGAAGTCACCACTTTCCCTTGCCAAGCACAACTTCAGGTTGTGATTGATTTCATTGTAATAATGCAAAAAATAAATTAATTAAATTTAATTTAAAAAAAAACAGCCTGCTGACTGAACAGGTTTCATATGGCGCGTCCATTTTGTTCCAAGTACATTAACCCCCAGGACAGGATGATGTTATGCAAGGTATTCAAAATCAGTGTTCGATGTGCTAATCAAAAACAATCAGGTGAAGTCAAATTCTGAAGTGTCTCAGACCATAATATGCCTTGAAGCTTTAGCCTAACATTCTGGTGCAAACCAAATCAAGGCCTGTGTTGGCTGTCGAGGATCAATCTTACCACAAGATGACGCTAAATACTACAATTTCATGCTTTTCAGAACCAGCTATCACATCTCTGTAGTTTTCCCTCAATCATTTCCTCAAGATTCCCCAAATGATTTAATGAGACACCTTTAAGGTGTAGTTGTAAAAGCTTTAAGTTTGATGAGTGTGGGTAATTAATGACAGAATTTGCATTTTTTTGGTGAACTATCCCTTTAAAAAACCTTTAAGTTTGATAGATAGATAGATAGATAGATAGATAGATAGATAGATAGATAGATAGATAGATAGATATTAATAGCACTTAATACTGTCAGTTTACAACGTTACATTTACCTTGACAACATTTTAACAATCATCGTCGTATGTGCCGGTTTTTATGTCGGCTGTTTAGAACATAGACTGTAAAAAAAGAATCAGAATCAGGTTTAGAATCAGAACTAGCGACGCCCTTTTCTATGGCGTTATTTTAATGACAAATGTAAGAAATTACAGATCCATCTTTGAAATCTGATTGATTGATAACTTTTGACAACATTTAATTCAGGTGCGAAAAGAATTAATATCTATAGCGCATGAGCACAGAGAGATTTGAGAGTGCACAGGACACAGTTTTAGTGAGAGGAGACATGTTTTAAGTGCGCGCACTCTCTCCGGGCGAGAGCAGCGTCTATCTGAGCGCGCGCGTCCGGTTTTGTTCGAGAGCAAAGGAAATCCGCGCGCGAGCGGAGAGATCCGCGCTCGCGCATTGTATTGATGTGCTTTCGCGCTACAATAATGCGCTCTCGACATTTGTCATTAAAATAACGCCATACTTTTCTCCAAAGAATCACTCTTACGAGTCGATGAATCGGTTACAGATTATCAAACAGCCTGAATCGATTCGCAAATGATTCAATCTTAGGAGTCATTTATAAATCGGCTTCACGGTTATCAGTTAAGACTTCAGTCTGAGTCTCTCGCTTACAGATTTGTTTGAATTTGTGGAATGTTTTACAACAGAGGACAAAAAGAGCAATGGTATGTTTACCGACAACCCAATGAAACCTGCCATGCGTAATCCACGCTATCGTTTGCCACTTCCAGTCACGAAAAAGACTTTACAACACCTGCAAGCACGTGCAGCCTGAAGTTCTGCAGGTAACGCCACAAGACTACCAAAATATTAACACTACACGAAAACACTTAAAGTAGAAAGACGTTTCCACGCGTGTGTGTGTGTGTGTGTGAGTGATACATGTTTTTCTATCCCGGTGAGAACTTAATACACACCGACTCATGGGGACTCGTGTCACCGTGGGGACATAAATTGAGGTCCCCCTGTGGAAACAAGCTTACAAATCATACAGAATGAGGTTTTTTTTGTTTGTTTGTTTGTTTTTTGAGAATGTAAAAATCCAGAAAGTTTTTGTATGATAGAATATACGGTTTGCTACAGTATAAAAACCATTACGCCTCTGTGTGTGTGTGTGTGTGTGTGTGTGTGTGTAACCTAGTAGCACTGTGGTATTGTTGAAGTAGGCCTACCTCGTAAATACAACTGTTTATGGTAATCATTCAGTGTACACACAGCATTGGTATTAATTTTAATTTAATTGGCAAATTACAGCTGATTATTTTTAGCATTACATATGTATACAAAAATATGAATAGTATGTTGTTTTCTCCATAGCTGTCACACTTGTTGTTGACAAGCTAATTATTCTGTTTACTGGAGTAGTACAGCTTTGAAGTACTTAAACTGCATGAAATACAAATGCAATACAAATCCAAAAAGTGACTAAACATTTTTTAGTCATGATTGTTCATACGCATCTCTGTTCTACCTTTGTACATAACTTTATGACAAACTAACGCATATAATTATTTATATTATTTTTAACAACTCCAGCTGGTGCATTGGGAAGAAGTGAAACTGCGGATCATATAGCATAATGTGGCATACTGCATTGGGATCCTTTTGAAGCATAGGCATTTGTAACTCATTTTAAGGGGCTTCAGTTATCATTAATGTTCACTTAATTGATGTGTGTTGGCCTTGATAAATAAATAAATACACCGTTTATATTTTATTTTTTATTATACATACATTCATATATGTACAAACACAATATATACAAATATTAAATATTTATAAATATTCCAAAAGAATGAATGTATGAATATACTACTTACAGTAAATGCTTTAAGCTGTCTGATCCCAACTGTCAGTAGGAACAGGCATAATGGTGTAATGCAAAGCAGATTTAATGAGTGATTCCTAGAGAAAACCTAAAGACATATTGGTTCTAACATTTCATTATGAGGACAGTCTACAAATTGAAAAGACACACCCATCTTAACGACTTCAATATATTGCTTATCCTGCCTGAAAACACCATAAACATTGCAGATAACATCTGACGTACCAATTAATTTATCCTAAAAACTAATCCTGTGATACTGATGCTTTGCAAATTGGGTGATTTTTATGTCAAGGTTTTGGCTGTCAGTCAATTATGTCCTCTGTCTGTAGAAGAAAAAAAATATATGACCATCAATCAGAACATCAATCTTCTCATTTGATATTATATAAGAAGTGATGTTTATCTTAAGCAATCAGTAGCAATCTATTTGAACTATTACCCTCAGGTCGGCGGTACAGGACAATAAAAGCTAAAACAAACAGACTGAAAAACAGCACATACCCCAGGTTGCAATACTAAATGAACACTGAATGTAAATGTCTCTTTGGTGCAATATTCCATTTTGTCTCAATCTGAACAATATGCAAATATTGATGCTTAAAGTATATATATATATATATAATTTTTTTTTTTTTTTTTTTTTTAGAGTTTATCTTGATAAAAAAATACTGATTAAGAAAATGATTTTTTTTTTCAGTGCATTCACATAGTTGTATGTGATTTATGATATTTTAAATCAGCCCTGAGTCTAAGCCCAGCTCTGTGCCGCATTCAATTTTTTTTTTTTTTTTTTTTTTTACTTTACATGTGCGTGTGTGTGTAAGTATATGTGTATGTTTGCTTACATACACATATTGGTCTTTTATTTATTTATTTATTTTAGTGGTTGTTTTAACTGTAAACCTTATTTTTGCACTGAAATAGGATTGCACATAATTTCGTTGTACTTTATGTATGACAATAAAGATTCTGATTCTATAGGCTGTATTTATAACATCTCTCAAAAACACATGATGGTCATACTATAAAAGATGAATATGTATGGTGAGGAATACATCTTTTATACATCTTGCCCCCCGTTTTACATTAGGCTATACAAAGACAGAAGAATGAAAAATGGATAAAGCATATGATATCACATGTCTTTTAGTGTGAGCATCAGGGCATTAGTGACACTTCTGACTGCAGAACTGACTCCGCCCCCTCAGTTTCCATCAGCAAATCATTCTGTCGTACAGAGGTCACTGGTTAGTGGACAACTGTCCAGATTGGATCTTTCCAGATCACAAATGATTTCTTTAAAGATTAATGTAATTATAAACATCCTCAAATGTGGACAAAAAAGCATTAAAACATTACTTGGACTTTATCTCCTTTCTGTTAAGTGTGTGTTGATGCCCCCCATCAGTCCCCCTGTAGTGTCTTGTGGGAACATGGACAAGCTCAACAGCTGTGGGGTTCCGCCCTACTGCTCCTTTGAGATTAATTATTGCTTGGTACCAATGTATCCCTTCGCATGGAAGTTGCCATGGAAACCCTTCTCACCAGTTTAAGAGTGCTGGTTTTGGTTGTGAATTTGTGTAAATGTTTTTATACTATTCATTTTTATACTATTCATTTTTCACTAAGCATCTTGGTACTATTAATGATTGATAAAGATTTTTTTTAAACTATAATCAGAAAAATTCCATTCTGTCTCTCTGTTGTAAAATCTAAAATGGTAGCTGTGTTTTTTTAGAACATGTTAACTGGTTTCTAGCTGGTTGGAGATGGTTATTAGCTGGTCCAAGCTGGTTTTTGGAACATGCTGGGTGGTCAACCAACCAATAACAGCTAAGGACCAGTTTAGACCAGCTAGAAACTAGCTGGAACATGTTTAAAAAAAAAAAAAACACCCCTAGTAGCTGGATATTACAACAGTAAACTGCTTTCATAAAATTATAACAGGAACAATTCTTTGCAGAAGTGAAACTTGCGTCAGCATAGCATGAGATATGGTCACATTTGTCTGAGACAGTCTTATTGTAATAGTATAGAGATACTATTGTAGTTTTTATTAATATTTCTAATTAGTTTTTTGTTTTTAGTCATTTTAGTTTTAGTCATTTTTCCATTTTTCTTAGGTTTTCTTTTTTTAATTCATTTTATTTCAGTTTTAGTTATTTTAGTACTCCTAATCATTACTGATCACCACTGTATATATATATGTATGTATGTACCAGGAGCTCCTAAAAAAACACACACACTTGACTTGGCGAATAAAGCTGATTCTGATTTGATTCTGATTAAACTAAACGAAAATGAGAATTTTCTTTTAATTTATTTCAGTTAACGTTTGTTTTAAATAAAACTTTTTTTTTTTTTTTTATGGTTTCAACTATAATAACCCTTGTCTGAGCTAAAGCACTCCTGGGGGACATCCTACAGCTACAGGCTCTGTGATTAGGAAGAGCCTGGTAACGCCTTCTCACTTCTGTGTGGGGTGTGAGGAATGCATTGACACCTCTTGACACAGTCCTAACTAGGTGAAACGTTCCTGCCATGGCAACACACCCTATTTGGCTCATATATAGCTAGTCCGTGGCTTCTACTGTCACTTGTCTGTCAGTCTTCTTGCGTTTCAAGCCACATGCGGTTTGGCGCACACAGCACCTGCTGAGTTTTGTTGTGTTCTTATAGCTAGTATAGCTAGTATATATGTACAAGTTGGGTTTTTCTTGTTGCTTGCTTTATTTCAGTGTAAATGTGTAAACCACACAAGGACGGTGGTCATAATTACTAATTTAAAGGGGTCATATGATGCGATTTCAATTTTTCCTTTCTCTTTGGAGTGTTTTTCAGACCGATGAGCTTTGTAAAAATCGACGCGTTTCAAAAAGGCGGGGCATAGAGGAGAAACAATAATGTACAGTATGTGGAAAATAATGTTTTTTTCACTTTAACCCGCATAAACACATTTCATTACACCAAATACACAAAATAATGTTCTTTTTAGCAGCATCATATGACCCCTTTAAATTATTATTAATATTGCAAAAAAATGATATTCGATTTCATTTTCATGTAATATATAATTAATTTATATAGATTTTTTCATATCTAGGTTGGTTTGAATACAAGAATAATTATCAATAATCAATTTAGAGAGATAATAATATTCATGTTGAGTGAATTTAATGTGATAGACTGATATGTCAACAAGGCATATTGCTCTGATAAACAATTCTGGTTAATTTACCCATGTGATTTTAAGTATTTTTAGTGAAATATAAGATTTTGTAAATGAAGCGTATGTAATTTAATTATACAGACAAAATTTTCTACATTTTGCACTTAAGATATGAACACTCAGAATTCAGGGATGTTAAATGAAGATCACTTTAATTGCACAAGTGGTTGTCTCAAGTACATCAGAGATTAGCCGGTCCTGAGCTTACAAACACCCATTTACAGGGTTCTGCTCTCCGCACTGCAAACTGACCCAATTTACAATTAGCTGCAGAAATGTGAAATAATGTACACAGAGATTTACAGTTGTCCATATAAATGTGATTAGCAAGAGCAGAAAAGACATTTGAGTATCTGAGTTGTTTACCAGCAGCTTGTAACTAACTGTCCATCTGAGAGATTGTGTTTGTGAGGATAATGGAATAGAAAAAATCCAAAAACATTCAGGTTTTCTTCTGTATTAATGTGCAGGTCTCTAACATGAACCTTCAAATAGCCAGACTCTGTCATTTGAAGCAGGCAAAATCAATTGTTTGTTCCTTTCTGATTGCATAAGACAGTCTAGCACTGACGCACTAGCTCACAAATACAACGTTACTAGTCTGACCACAATAACACAGTCAAAAGCTAAATGAGAGATTTTCCTCTTCATTCAAATTCACATTTTATCAAAAGGTCTGCAGAAGTTCAGAAAAATAGTGACAACAGGTGAACAATCTTATGGCA